GTGACCTCTTAGTTTAGTGTTGTGGTTCAATTCCGGCAGCGGACGGCAAATATGGTTTGGATTCTTCAGAATCTGGTAAACCATTATGAGATCCCCCCGCAAAAGCCGATATCGACTACTGTATATTCTTAGAGATTTCAGTCTAAGCTGATAGGGCAGATGAAAGAGGCCCCTGACATTCTTGGTTGCCCGTCGTTGAGGAGTCTCGAGAGCAAGGAGATCCTGTTTCTGCCACGGCTGCCACGCCTGAATAGCATATTCCACGTGAGGTCGCACGTAAGCGTTAAGCATTTGGGGAAAGATTGAGGGTTCAAACCGACCGAAGGCTCTGCGAAGAAGGCCGAAGTGTTGATTTTCGGTTCTCCTCGCCTTCTCTGCTTGTTTTGAACACCCGAGATCTTCCTGTACCAATACACCCAGGTCACGCTCTTGAGAAACCTTCGCCAAGGTGTGGTCTCCAATCTTGTAAGCGCTCACCGGCTGGTGACGCAGCTGCATCACTTTGCATTTAGCCATGTTCAATTGAAGCTTGTTCCTCCTTGACCATTCGTAAATGCAATCTAGGTCATGTTGGAGCAGATCCTGATCTGCCTTGTTACTAATCGCCCGCCATATCTTGACGTCATCGGCGAAAAGCAGGAAGTTTGAGGAGATGACTCTTGCCAGGTCGTTGATAAACACCAGGAATAAACGCGGTCCCAGCACTGAGCCTTGTGGGACACCACATTCCACCTCAATTGGATTAGAAAGTGATCCCCTAACACGTACTTGGAGTTTTCGTTGGTAAAGGAAGTTGCCAATCCTACCAAGTACAGGATCTCCGATTCCGTAACTTTGTAGTCTTTGAAGTAGGATGCGGTGATCAAGGCGGTCGAAAGCTTTGGAGAAGTCCAGATAGATGACGTCGACTCCGACCCCATCATCAGCCACTTCCGTCCAACTACCTCGTGCAATGAGTAGGTTGGTGGTGCATGACCGGTGTTGACGGAAGCCATGCTGTTCCGGTACCAAGATGTTGCATTTTTCCAGGTAGTCCATTAAAGCCTCAGCGACGACTGCTTCCATCACCTTCACGAGCACAGGGAGGAGGGTCACTGGACGATAGTTAGCAGGATCGGAACGGCTACCGCCTTTAAAAATAGGGGTTATAATGCCACACTTCAACATAGTGGGGACTTGTTGTTCATCAAAGCACCTTTGAAAGAACTGTGACAGTGGTTCAGCTAGCTTGGTGGCCATAGCCTTCAGTGCCTTCGGGCGGATGTTGTCTGCTCCCGGAGAACTATGTTCACGCAGTGAGAGTAACTTCCTTAGCACAATTGATGGGTTGAAAATAACATTTGTAAACAGAGGTGTCGGTAATGAGCTTGATATTATTGGACAGGTAGAGATTGCGAGTTCAAAAATTGGGGCGTATTGCAGCCGCAGGGCATTAGCTGCTTCTGCGGCGCTTTGTACTCTACCGCCTGCCGTGAATAGTGGGGGTATTCCATGCTTCACTTTACGAAGCTTATTGACATGCTTATACAGCAGTTTGTTGTTTGCCATGAACTTTTTGGCTAGGCACTGTTGCTAAGTTACTTTGTCCTCACGGACAAGTGCAGTGCAATGGTTTCGATGGGCCAGGAAATTTCCCCAAGTCTCTGAGTCGGGGTTAATCTTGTAGGCACGCCATGCTGCATCCCTTATCGCCAGGCATTTGCGAGTCCTACTCCTTATAATTGAAGGCATTTTCGCGGGACAAAGGGGTTTGGTCTCTGTTGCTTTGTTGACGATGTCGCTGAGCTTATTAACGAACTCTGCCCAAACGTTGTCAAGGGGACTTTTGTTTGAGAATTCCCAAGAAGCTGCGTCGGCGAGTTCTTTCAATACGTGGTAGCGTGTGATTGTATGAGTTAGTTCCGAGTGAGGACGAGCAAATGCTACATATGCCGGATTGGGCTGCCTATTGAACAGCATGTCTCATTTCATCAGGAACAAATCAATAAATCACGGGTTCATTGAAATTGGCAAGTATGTACAGGGGAAATCACAGCCGGTTGTAGGCCACGGTAGAAGTAAAGGACGAGGGTATGAGGGTGTTCTCCAAGCTGGCTGATTTGGCTGCAAACGTTTCATCGTCAGGCTAGACGACATCATCGGTGCGATTTATGCGGCCCATTTACAGATCCAAGTGATTATTGACCACTTGATTCGAACGTCAGGAGTCGATTGGTCCACGTGAGCTGACTGTGTAGTCAGCTCTCTCGTACTGTTGGCTAGAGTCCGCCTCAATGAAGTTCCTTCGTCCTGTTGATTTGGGGCGGACTATTCTTTTGACCCTCAGTGTTTCATAGGCAGTGTCTAGATCTAAGTGTCGGTTGATTGAGTTCTTCCCCGAGTACCAAGCCTCGATGAACTTGCGTGCTTTTCGACTTTTTGCCCTGCCTATGATCCTGACATTCCAAATCAAATTGGTGATTCTCGGCGTCCGAGGATCCATCGATAGTCGATGGGTTGTTGAAGAACTGCACCGACGCAGTGTCGGATGCTTCAGTTGTCAGGGAGAGTGATGCTGATGTGTCTGTGTGGGCGAGAAGTGGTATGTTGGAGATGGCGCCTTTAAGCTTCTCATAAGATCGTCTAGCGTCGTCTGGAAAATGAAAAGACCGTTAGTTACCGTGGAGCAAGTCAGTCATTGATTGAACAATGCTCGCGCAGTTAGGAATAAAGCGTCGTTAAAAGTTGACCACACCAAGGAATCGGCGTAACTGTTTGAAGGAACTAGGAGCAGGATAGTCCTTCAGTGCTTGGATTTTGTCTGGAAGAGCTTCAATACCAAGGCGGATATTCGGTGGCCAAGAAAGGCGCTTGAGCTTTGGCCAAGCTCGCATTTATCGGGGTTGATGGTAACCCCATGTTGCGTCAAGCGTTGGAAGAGTGCGTCGAGGTGACGAAGATCTTCATCGTCAGAAGAACTGGCGATGAGTATGTCATCTTGATAAGGATACACGCCTTCGAGTCCTCGCGTTACCTCATAGATGAAACGCTGAAAAGTTTGAGCAGCATTGCTGAGGCCGAAAGGCATTCTGAGGTACTCGAATAGGCCGAATGGCGTGATGACTGCTGTTTTAGTAATATCGTCTGGCGCCACAGGTATCTTATGGTAGGCGCGAACTAGGTCGACTTTGCTAAGGATGAACTTACCAGCTAGAGCTGAGGTTAAGTCGTACATGTGCGGAATGGGGTATTTATCCGGGACGGTAACTTTGTTAAATGACCTGTAGTCACCACAGGGGCGCCAGTCACCGGATTTCTTCGGCACCGTGTGTAATGGTGATGCCCATGGACTTTTGGACGGGCGGACTATTCCCAGTTCGAGCATTTGCTCGAATTTCGCCTTAGCAGCTTTGAGCTTGTCCGGGGCTAGTCTGCAAGAACGGGCTGAAACAGGTGCACCCTTAGTGCAAGTCGCTCGGAACGCGAACGAGTTTAGGATGCTTGTTGAATGTGAAGCTTGAGGTGGGACACGAATGGGAGCGATAGCAGCCGCGTTGGCGCTTTTCCTGATAACGCTGAGCTGTGTCCTAGAGTCAAAAATGTTCTTCCTTTTAGTGTCGACGATAAGCTCGAAGTGTTGAAGGAAGTCTATGCTTATGATGGCAAAAGGCACGGCTGCTACTATGAAAGGCCAACGAAAGGTTCGCCGAAGGCCTAAATTGAGCCTTAGCAGCCTTGCGCCCAAAGTTACGATTGGTGTGCCATTCGCAGCACACAGCTTGTGCGACGATGGTGAGACGATCTCATCTGAGCTACGGGGTATAACGCTAACTTCGGCTCCAGTGTCAACCAGGAACTCGGTGCCGGAAGTTAAATCCCTAACGCGGATGAGGCGACTTTGGTCTTGACCGGTCGCGTCCGTCGCCGTTACGGACCGGCCGAGAAGTTTCCCTGCTTCTCGGCGAAGTTGCAAAGCTTGATCCAGTTACGAGCTGCGGTACCAAAGCGTTGATGGTACCAACAGCAAGTCTACCTGTTACTGGACTTCGAATCGCTCTCCGGACTCCCGCTACAGCCTACTCGCTAAATTGCTGACTCCGACGTGATCCGAACACGCAACCTTGTGACTCCAGATCAGAAGGTTGCGCCAGGCAAAAATGGCGATGAGCAAGTCAAACATTCGAACTCAGCGATCAGTTCAACAAACCATACCGGTCGCCTAGGTGTATAATGAAATAGTTTTAGTTAGAATTTTACACAGGCAAACCGGCGAATCTCCAGATGACTACAGCACCGCGATTTGATAAGGGCTTCGGTCGACAATCCCTGCGTACCTGGTTCAGGTCGTAGCTCGTATGAATTCCTAATTAACCGATATAACTGATACTGTGCATTTCTGATTCAGTGGTGTAGTAGTATGATTTTGTTCACGTTTTTAACCATGATGATGGAACAGCCCACCACTATTGTTCACATTCACAATCTGAGTTAACTGCTGAACCATCCATTTTACGTCTTCCTCCTAGTCTTTATTATAGCACCTTTCATTATTTACTGACAACGATGTGCATAGCTCAGACATCCGGACACTTTATTTTAATGCAACACTCATTACGTCATTGAATGAGTGCAGACTGCCCATACCCAACACGTGGAATTACATCTACCTAATTACGAGTCCGTTCACCCATTCATAAGTTCTCTGTTTCTATTTTACCTCATTATTATTTATGTAGAACCACGGTTGCTTCAGTACAATTTATTCAGTCTACCGCCCTTCATCCTAACAGCTCAGATCTGGTTCAGGTCGTAGCACGATACTTCATACCCGATGCTTGCAGATTAGTACGAAACCAATCGTGTAATGCAATTTCAAACATTGGCTAGACTTGCCCTGTTACCGTTCTCAGAACTTTAGCTATTCTATAATCACAAACCCCCATGCCTCGCATAATGCAGGCGTGCCCCGATTATTGTGGATAAACAATTTATTTATTTATTTTGTTCATGTGGATTGATAGAAAAATGTGTTGAGTCAACGTACACTTTGCCGACGAACTGCTTGAACACTGGGCCTTCATCGATTTCTGAAGAAGGGACCTTTCGAGTAGATGAGCTCAGTCCTCCCACTCGACAGTTTGACGCATCCTTGGCCATCCGGAATGCGGTGAATCATTGTGATCTCGGTGGTGCAGATTCCACGCAACTTGATTCGCTGGCCGCTATTGGAGATGGCAACACGACCGAGTACGTTCTGATGCTATTTGGATGTTAGCCCCTGTTTTCTTTCTGTCATTCCATAGGTGCGCAGGCCGATGGCGGATGGTTTGTGGTATTTGACTTTTGATCCACAGTTCAGCGGTTAAAGCGTGCTTGGGTGCGGGCGAGCTTGTAGTATTCCAACCCCGACGCAACCACTTCTGGTTACTTGACAGCGAATCGTCGATGCTAAGTTCTGGCGTACTGTTGACACTTCAGTTTCTTGGGCGGGTTGTGTCATATTTCGTTTCGATGGCCTGTGGAAACTTGTGTATGTGCTACATTCACTCGATGTGTCCTCTTTCACTTTGGTCAGTGTCGGTGGACATTCTCGACTGTATTTTTAAGCACTCCTGTCTCTGATATCGTTCTTGTTCCATATGTTATCACTGCCCATCTTAGTATGAATCCCCTCTTCTATCCTCTGCAATTTAGCGACCAATCTTCGATTACTCTGTCCCTTGCTCCACGTCCGTCATACAAGTTTGTCTTCCATCGTATTCGCCGAAAGAGCCGTACGCATCAAGTCGCCACACATTTGATGAAGCAGCGGTTTGGTCTAGGTTTGAATGCACGTAGACGACCTAGAATGCGCTCAGGTGCGCCTAAAAAACCCAACCGTTGCCCTCCGCAACAGAATCCCGCTACTTTTGAAACAAACGTATTTGCAAATTCTTACAATCAGTGCGTTTCGGACGACACATTAGCGGACTCAACTTTGCCTTCCGGTTTCCTGGAGTCGGAACGGTCTATCGTACTTGATGGCGAACCGGGTAAGCTGCTGTTTTACGAGTACGGTTCAAAGTGTGATTTGAGATCTGTCGCGTCTTGTTGGTTCTACGTGTTTCGTTGTGCTATAGCTCTCGTTGATGTTTACTGTGTTTCGACATTGCAGAGCTTAATGTGTTACCACGGGTTCGGTCGGTGGCTGAAAGGATAACGCGCCTGCCTTTTGCTCCAAATGTCACCGGTTCGAGTCTGCGTAGAGGCAGACGACTTTGTAGTATACTCAGCCCACACGTGACTAGTGTTGATTGCGTGACAACGAACCGTATGTTATGCCGACGTGCTATAGACGCCTTTATTTGCGCATGAGTGACAAGCGGGTTGGTGGTTGCTATCCGTCGCTTCTCGGTCACTGTGTGTGTATGTGAGACCTCATGGTACTTTTTGTTATCGTGTGTTCAACTTATGTCATTTTAATCTCCCTGCTACTACCTTGCTTTCGATGGATCTTAGCAAGCATTCTTCATCGTAATCATTTTCAGCTGGAGGTGACTTTCTTCCGAATGTTGCTGACGCTTCTCTGGTGTCAAAAAAATCTTTACCCACTCTGGGAAGGTCTCCTACCTCACGTTCCGAGATTGTTTTCAAATGCCCTGAGATTCCCGTCTCACAGAAACCCGTACCCGCAAGTCAAGTCCTCACCAGTCGTCCCGCGTTAGTCGAGCGTCAAGTCAATACCGCTGTTCCTCTGCATGTGCAGGTATCCTTCCCCATTTTCGCTTTTATGCCATCCATACCAATTGGTTGTGTGAATTCTTGTGTTCTTTTAGTTTTGTTTCTTATTTCGAGCTCGTCTACTTATTCGCGTTGTTTCTTTATAGCCTTGGTAAACAAGATTGACGAAACTACCATCCCCGAGTATTGTCTGCTTTGGAATCGCCCATCTCCTAATTATCCCCTTATATGCCAAAAATCGATACTTATCCCTTCTAGATTCATTTGAAACATCCGCTTTATAAACGGATTGCGACATGCATTATCATTCTGAGCAACGATTAGCGTTAAGGTTATATCTCAGTCAGTTAAGCGTTTTATTCTTCGTCGGTGCGAGACAAATGCAACTGAATGGACTGATCAATTTGTACGTCGGGATCGCATAAAATAGTAGATTGTTCATGTTTTATACAACGGGTCTCAGATGGGTTTCTGAACTGAATGGCGGTTTGATACTTTTAGAGAAAGCAAGAAACAGGAAACGATAACAAATGCAGATTTGGCCAAAGGTTCAAATAAAATAATACGGACACCCATGGAACTGTCCCAAGGGGACTTGCTTCCATGCGGATTGATGCCTCGATGGGTTTCACCCGCACTTCTATGCTCCAACGGTCTGTTTCGGTGTGGAAAAATAACATGTAAGCCACCACCTGTTTCACAAATGTCATTTTCTATTAGGGCTGTTTTATGCATGCATTCCGGGCGATGAAGCCTCAGCCCGATCCGTCATGCAGATCATTCATCCACTGCTCACAATACTGCACTCTGCGACCGGTTTGGAAGTTGTTTACACTTTTCTGATAGAGGTAGCAGAACTACATCTTCTATCCGAGATGTATTGACTAGCGGCTGCCACTGTGGTTCGATCTTGTGACTTTAAACAGCGGATTAGTGCTTATTGTTTGCAGATTATTCACGTGCTTCCAGTTTCTACGGGATATTGCGGGTGTCGAACAGTGAATCATTGTTACATACTGGTTATTTCCTGTGTTGATTTGGGCTTGTGGGATTTCCTTAAGTTTTCAGAATTCCGAGTTGTTGCCACCCCAGGTATTTTCGCTTCGAGCTTTTGGTTTTCTCGTTCACGTATACAGCATACAGATTACATGGCATTGGAAGTACGTTGCCCCACCGACATTAACCACAAGCTGGTCAACTGGATGTATTTCCTTGTATTTGTCTGGCAACTGCCTTATGTTCCGCTGAGTTTGCAGATGCTTTTTTCACCTGTATTACAATGATCCGATGATCAGGTGAATTCGCGCGAGTCAAGTGAGACTGTTTACTTGATTTTTGTTACTTAAACGCATGTACACTGGAATTCACGTCGCGAATATGCGCACAGTTCGATGCTGTTTGTCTACCACAAACGGGGAGGTTAGCTAGAAGAACTCCAGTGTATCTTATCGGATAAATAACGGGTGCGCTTTCTGGCCAAGTTAACTCATCCTCCTGTATCTTTCAGTTTTTTGTCGTTGTTTCTACCCATTCTAGGGGTTTTCCCAGCTTATGGCGAAACATCCGCACTTACATACCTTACCCCATTGGTTCATCTAACATTTGTCGCTTGATTTCCTTAAATAGCAGCGTCAAGCACCACCCGGACCAAAGAAGTCTTGAAAACCAAATGAAATATTCAATGCAAATCATTGCATATTTGCCAAAACACTTGTGGAACAACATATGGACGTAACATGCTTCATTATTTTGATACCTTGTGACGCCAACTAGTTACTGTTCGAACTACACCTTGGCCCTTTATATTGTATTACATGTCACACTGTGCAGAGCATATCGCTACTTTCTAATTCCAGTTCGGATATGCGTGTTCTTTTTTGAATGTCTAATACTTGTCTGATACTGTACCTATCACAATTTGCTCGGTTCAGCTACAAATTCATCCACTTTGTAATATATTGTGTTTGCTCTCCCGAGGGAAGACCGGACCGTATTTGGTACATTTCGGATTGGAAAGGCCTATCAACTGCCGGTGGCCGAAAGATTTACGCCCTTGCATTGTAATCCGGAGGTCACCGGTTCGAATCCACGTACATGCGAGTTCCGTCGCGGGAAATACCCAGCCCAGGCGCGTGGTAGCGAAGTGTCTGCACGATGTGCCGGCGTACTGCTAAAGCCTAAACCAATTTCGAAGCATGAAAATAGTTATCTCGTTCTGAATCTGCAGCCGAAATCATCGTATGAAGAACCAGAATCTACTTTGAGGGCATTTGTCGAAGGGAGATTTCATATTCGCGTCAACCTACTCAAGCTGCATTCAAGTCAAAGTCAAAATAAGCTTTGTGACCCAACATGTATTCGTTTTCAGCATTTACACTGTCTTACAGATCTACCGGAAGATAATATCAATAAAAAATACTTAAGCAATAAAAATGGAACATACCCAACTGTCACTAACAATCCCTCGCGCAGCATGTTCATGGCATTCGTTGGGTCGACAATCCAGCGTGACAGATAAGCTAGGATATTGTTGCGATACGATGAAGTGCGGGAAAGTATTCATTGATTGCATTTGATAGCGTTAAGACTGAGGGATCACTCAACCAGATCTTTTACTCTACGGTGAAGCAATAAGGAATCCTGGATAGTGTGGGCTGTACACCCAAGCACAACATCGTCAACATATTTACATCCCATGAACGTGAGTTGTATAGAGTGATGTTCGACATATGAGTCGAACAGAAAACGTGTTATGCTCGTTGTCAGCAGAACACTTATAGTCGGGACGGGGAGCAGACCATTTCTCCCTCTTTAACTTGCTGAAGCGATAGCGAGCCGTAAAATAGTCAAGTAGCAGATTACACGCTACAGTGCACTTCATTCTCGGATAGCAGATTGAACAGCATTGACCTATCCAGACTTCTGAAGACATTTGAATAATGAAACTAAAGAACCCGCATGGATTTACATCTTTTATCTAGTGCAAGCGCTATTGAATGAACAGGGTATGATACTGCATCCAATGTGGAGCGCTGATGCCTGTGTGCGAACTGCTACATAACGTCCGCAGGGGTAGCTGTCAAACCCTGCGAAATGAGCACTTATACAAAAGTTTTCACTATTACAAATGTGTACGCAATCGGGCGGTACTTAAGAGCTTAACTTTTGGGCACCGGACCTATCCTGGGCGATCTCCAAATGACTGGACGGATTTATCGCATAGATATGTTAAAGGTAGTGTGAGATAATCAGCACATCAGGACCACCAGATTTGTCCGACTTTGTTCTTTTGAGTTCCTTGTGAATATTGTCTTGGTCGAAGGACACAGCTAGACTTGAGCTGATGAAGGAGGACAAGGATGATCCACTTGATGAAAAGGAGCTGGTTTGTCCACATCTACCAGACTGTAGGTGCTCTTATCACAGAACTGTATCAATAGCTTCCATTGATCACGGAAATTATAATTGCCTAGAGCGGCCTCGATGTATAAGGTTTAGACTCTTTACCTCGGATTCAGTTCCCAAGATTAGGCTGTTGACGCTAGTAGCCATCTTGCACCTATAAGCTCGTTCTTTCATCCTTCGAAGTCGTGTTAGCAATGATGATAAAAATCTATCTGCCCTTAGGTAGATCGTTTCAACAGGGCAGTACAGGTCAAAGTAATGTTACATGTAGCCTGTACGATGATCGAATTGGTTCGGCAGATCTCCATTGTTGAAGACGGAAAATCAGTTAAGAAAAACATCGACTAGCGCCTTGTGATATTTTTGACGGAGCAGTTTCGCCGTTTGATAGTTTTGAAAGGATTTCTAGCCAGTGTGACGAAGTTGGCTGTTGTATATGACAGGACAATTTTACTACGCGATGATCTGAGACCGCTTTTCAACTGAAAGAAACTGTATGTGTAGTAAATAACGTACAGCTCTGTCTTGTCTGATCGAAACAGCCAATAGATCCAGCCAGGTGTCCTCAGGAGTTATCCATTTTATCAGAGTCGCCAGCATTAATACTGATAGAACAACCTAGTTTCAGCTGTAGCATCGAAGAAGCGTGGTGCTCAAAGCGCTTCATCCCTGACGCAGATGTGTCAAGAGCTATGTTGTCGTTTTCTTCGATGACATTAAGTTCACTTAAGGACTTTGATTTTCCCTAGATGGAATGTCAAATTATAAGTCTTTTATTATATGAGCAATACGATTGCTTACTTGCAACAACATTCGTTAACGTAAGGGATAATGCATCCACCAGGAAACGGGCTTCCCCGTGCGATCAGTCCTGATGAGGCAATAGTCATCGAGTTAAATAACCCCCCATCTTCCACATCCGTATGCGGTCAAATTTCTTTTAGTAGAATTTGTTGGGCGCGCCTTTATACTAGTCGGTGACGATGCCATATTAGATGTGCCATATACGGAACATTAAACGAGATGGAGGCAGTTATGCCCCAAGGATATTATAAAGGTTGCAAAGTAGGGATAGCGAATAGGGAAAAGCGTGGAGCAACGTAGCGCACAACTCATCGAGTATGGAAAGAAAAAGAGAGGCATCAGCAGTACTGCCGCTTCGTTGTCGTGCAACCACCACCATTCACATGTGGGCTCAGGATACTGCGAGATTCGCCCGATCCCCAAAGTAGGCTCAATCCCGCGACATCGGAATACAAGTCAGGCGTATGATCCTTCAGGTTACGGGTCGGCACTCATCGCGCATACACTATGCAGAGATGTATCATCAGTAAAACAACCATTTTACACGCATTGTACCAAGCTTTTAGCGTGGCACATTTTCCAAATCGCGTGCAGTGCTTTCAAGTTACCGAGGCTAAGAACGCTGTTTTGGCGTCGTTGACACTCTCACTGGTCATGGGACGTTAGCCAAGGGGACACCGGTCGGAAGCCCCCAGCATAAGCGACAGACAGTCCAATGAAAGTGCTCACGCACCACCTGTTCTATTTTGATGCCTATCTGAAGGAAACCTCGATGATTGGTCTCCAAACTGAAACCCTGCAATGGGCAACTTGTGATACCTGTCTAAGGAGGAGATCCTAGCTACCATATGATCCGAAGCTCAAACCGTAACCAGTGCGGCCAGACATACTAACCAGCGCATGAAGCGGTCTATACTTAGTGATCGCTAGCGGCTACCTGGTGGTGGCTTATTCAGCGGCCTAAACATGGTGGCGTAGGCAGACAATCTTCTAACTGGTATTCCGCAGTTCAGCAATGGCTGCTAGCCGGTTATACAATTTTGTGCGATTGTTATTGCGACGATTATGGAGGACATTGTTCCCATTGAAGTTGGTAGACCAACTTGAAGCTGAACAACGAAAGTGTTCTATGTTTGCTTACTTCTATCACAGTTGATGACTAAACACAAACTAAGAGTATTCCAAGTGGTGTTGACACGACGTTAGTGAGTGTTCATTTGTCTCCACACCCATGGGCGACTTTGTTAATCAGTTATCGCTTCAGTGTCTCCATGTATGGCGTTATGTAAAGGTCATAGGAACCTATGTATTCATAGGATAATTAGGCTTCGCTTCCATATGGTCGTCCATCCATGTTGAGAAGCTTTGACAAGTGGCTCTCCGAATGGCACCATTAGAAACACAGTCAATGCAGATGGAAGCTCCCTATTACGTCCATGGACTGGAATGCTATCCTCATGAAATCGGCATTACTCAAGAAAGAAACACCTAAAGGGGCTACAATGACTACGGTATTTATATATGCCACATCGTCCTGTTAGAAAAAACGCAAGACTGATAATTAATGGCGACGCACGCATTTCAGGTGAGTACTTGGAACAGACAAACACTGTTGTCTCACCCACGGGCGTTCCTACAATGTGTTTGCAATCATTTACAAAGGCAACCGCGCCCACTACTCCTGCCTTGGACCACTGTTTCAGCTAATCTTAGAAGCAGTCATGTGTGCACGCCGTGACACAGGTTGTTATCGACTTGTCAACTACTCGGAAACATTTTGTCATTGGGAAATAGGTAATTCCGGAGGCATTGTTGAAGGAGGAAAATTGCTCCAAACTCTATGCTTATTATGCGTATGCAACGCTCGTTAGTAGACCATATCAGGGCCGTTGGGTCACTTGGCATTTCAAGCCTATCACTCACTTGGAAGTGAAGTGTAAGTATCATGTTGAGACGCAGGATTGACATGCAGCTTACGACCTTAAAATAACGGCAAGTCCATGGGTCCTGAAGCGGTAACCGATTACCGAAGCGGCCCACAGGTGTGGAGACGAACGGACACTCACTAATGTCGTGTCACGGCCACACTACGAACTCTCCTCTTTGGAACAATGGATACGGATCCACTGATGGTCTTACCTACCCAGCGAACTTGACCTTAGTGTACAAGCAGCATTAGTGTAAAATCAGTAGCAGTATACAGCATTAGTAGTAGTTAGTATACAGCATTAGCATACAATCAGCAGTACGTAGTTACGCTATTCACATGAGTGTACGACCAACTGAAAAACACAGCACGAGAACTTTCTAGCTGTAAAGACTTTAACATTTCCACAGTTAGTCTGACGGAAGAAGGCCGCTGAGCGTGTTCATTTACCTTATGGTGAACGCCGCTCATTTACGGTCGTTGTCCCCAACATCCTATAACCATCCAATGTTTAGCGAAATTCGCAACATGCCACTGCGCGTGCAGAGACAGGAATTGCTCTCTCACC